GGTCTTCATGTTCTACCTTTTATCAGTCAAAGTTATGTAGGTGGTTGAATATCTTAGTTTCCATTCGTTTAGCTTTCTATGTTTTTGTGCTGTGCAAACGTTTTGTTGATCATTACCTCTATGTGATCATTAATTATAAGAAGTATTTTTCTTTCATGTTTCTTGTTGTTCTCATGAAAGATGGTGTGGCCATCCTTATTGTTCATTGTAATCATGTTGCTGGTTGCCTCTATTTGCATTTCTATAAATTGATTGCTTGAAACTATTTGCAGATGGCCATGCAGGAAGGAAGTCCTGCCAATCCTCCCAGTGCTCAAGTTGTTGGAAATGCTTTTGTGGAACAGTATTACCATATTCTTCACCATTCACCGAATCTGGTGCATAGATTTTATCAAGATTCAAGTTGTTTAAGTCGGCCAGATAAGGATGGCAACATGACAACAGTAACAACCATGCAAGTAAGTTTGTTAGATGTTAAATTTATTTCCAATATGAATACTTGAGTAACTGTCGGCTTGATTGTTACTGTCGGCTTGAATCCTGCTTCATGCAGGAGATGGAACAGTTAGGCTAAGTTGATAACAAGTTGTTGAGGATAATTGCAGAGAATATTTGTAATAATTTTTATTGGAAAGTTAACTTAGAAAGGTGCGGAAAACAAGGGAAACCTTGGGTGAAGCTTTGTATGTTTATGAGATGCATGCATGTAACTGGAGTAATGGATTTTTTTCAAGTGTATGTTTCTGGAGACTCTGATATTTGAGGCAGTATAAGAATTATTAAATTTGATAGCCTTGGATAGACATTTTTTTAAAACTATAACTTAGCTTGAAAATGGTTTAAGTGACTAGTGTGTTGATATTTGCTTTGGAGCAGGCAATCAATGAGAAGGTACTATCACTGAATTATGAGGACTATACAGCAGAGATAAAAACTGCAGATGCTCAGGACTCGTTTGAGAAAGGGGTGATTGTATTGGTGACTGGATGCTTAACTGGGAAGGACAAGTTGAGAAAGAAGTTCACACAAACCTTCTTTCTAGCTCCACAAGACAAAGGCTACTTTGTCTTAAATGATGTTCTCAGATACATTGAAGAGAAAGAGTTGCACAACTCTGTTCCAGTTAATGGCGTCAGTGAACAGGCTTCAACATCTGCCCTGACACCAGAACCAGGTTTGGCCTGGTTCTTTTCTTATCGTGCATTATGGTTGTATTTGCTTTACACTCAAATCATGGAATTGCTTTAACTTCTGCTTTCAGAGCCCACTTACGACCATCTTGTGGTGGACCCAGTAACTCAGGAAGAAGAGGAAGATAATAGTAATGGTGCTGAAGTTTGTGACCCCTCCGATAAGGAGGAAGGATCGGTAATTGAGGAAGAGGTTTTTAAACCCCAAAACATTGCGAGTCAGAATGAGAGTGTTGCCACTGTTGATTCAGTTCCTGTGGTTATAGAGGATGCTCCAAAGAAATCATATGCTTCAATTGTCAGTTAACATTAATATTTTTTCTTTTTCCATTCATGTTTTGGTGGTTTTTTTTTTTTATGTTTTACTGAACATACTGAATTACATATTAGGTCAAAGTAATGAAAAGTAATACAGCATCTACTCCAGTCTATGTTCCTAGCAATAATGTGAGGGCGGCACCTGCAGACCAACAGTCAATTGCTTCTGCAAAACCTGCTCCAGCACCAGAGGCAGCAGTACCTAACAGTGACAATGCACCTGAAAGTAGCAATGACAATGAGGAAGGTAATTGCTAACTTATGTACTGCATGTTTGCATGTTAATAGAAGCACATTTGTTCTCTTCACGGTGAAGTTAGATCCACATCTTTTATATTTTAATGAATAAAGATATTGTTAAACAGGTAAAGGAGGCATACTTGGTTTGGCATGGTTAACGTTATGTCATCTGTATTTTCATCTCTGAGATGTCTTGATGCATATTCTTTCTTGTTTTAAAATATAAGACTCATTTATTTGTTCTTACCAAAGCTGAAGGACACTCCATATATGTACGAAATTTGCCTTACAATGCAACACCTGCACAACTTGAGGAGGCATTTAAAAAATTTGGGCCCATTAAGCGCAATGGCATCCAAGTCAGAAGTAATAAGGTTTTGATTAACATATCAATTTGGCATCTCATTCTTAGTTGACATTTCTAGTTCAGGTTCTCAGTTCTTACAGTTTTGTGTATTTCTTGCCTCCTGCAGCAGGGGTTCACTTTTGGTTTTGTTGAATTTGAGATGGCAAGTTCAGTGCAGGGTGCACTTGAGGTATTGTCTCATAACTTTTATGTCCTGTTATGAATCAGGTGCAGTATTAACACCATCATGAGTCACTCTTTCATTCAATCACTAAATACGTGCTATATGTCTGGCAAGTTCTGTTAAGTTATTCCTCTTAACAACTAGTGCAAGTTTACTCTAATGGTGAACTGAAACAAACTCTCTTCAAGTTTACAATTATGTCAACACCCCCCCATCCTCTAATTAATAACAAATACTGCTAAGTTTAAAAATAAGAAACAAGAAATAAAACCCAAAACAAGATCAATTTCTGTTAAGTGACAGTATGATTGGATGAGATTACCTGCATGCGGGTTTTTGGTCACTCAAACAGTATCTGATTAGAGGGCTTTATCTAGAACCGTCTTCAAGAAAACCCTACCTTTTTTGTAGGTAATTAGGTCAGCTGGTCTAAAAGATTAATTCCACCGTGTCTCCTTTCATTCTTCTGTTACTTTTGGACATTCTATAGACATGAAACAGGGACCTGGTATTGTTTTCTGTACATTTACATCTGATATTGTCCTTAACCTCATATTAATTCATTTTGCAGTTTGTAACAAATTCGTAGCCTTGTTGAATTAAGTTGGAAAATTGAAAGATTAAACCAATTAAACTTTAACTTGTGTTTTATGGAGGTCATAAAAATTTCACATGAATGGATTTACACGGTCTACAGTTCGAAGGTCTTAAATCTTAATTACCCATGTCATCTCGTATTTTTTGCCTCTCTCTCAACTGCATCAGAGTTTTTGTTGCAAAACTTAACTATGATATTAATCAGGGTCCTCGATTTCACATTGAAATTATGGAGATGTAATTGAAATTCAGGTAACACTTTCTAAGTGAACTTTGTAATTAACATCAAGAATATCGCAGTTAAGTTGAGACCGGATTCACTAGTCATGATTTCTCTTAAAGGTGGAGTGTTATACTGAAAACTTAAAGAAATGACCATTTCTTTGATGGCTTCTCTGTTTAAACAGGTTGTAGGTATTTTATTTTAATATGATTTGCATGTCGTCTTGTTTCTTTATCTCCAATGTGATATCATTGTTTGTTTACAGCTTTTCGTATATCCAACCTCAAATTATCTTGGTACAGGCTTAAGCATATTTCTTTGTCACCAACTGCATGATGATTTGAAATATTCTTCTTGTTAATTTCAATCTGCCTCGTCAGTGTTTCTGTCAGCATATTTTTGAACTTATGGTTGTGCTAATTGCATCTCAGGCTTCACCAATTATAATTGGGGATCGTAAAGCTGATGTGGAAGAAAAGAGGACAAACACTCGAGGTAATTCAAATTTTAGTTGGGAGAATACATTTTAGATGCTGAAATTTAATTAAAATTCCAGTATTTTTCCTATATTGTTAGTCTGCTCTAATTGAACTTTCAGTTTATAAAATATAGTCCTGAGCTGAGGAAAGATATGGTCTCAAATAGGTGACTATGGCTCAATATGGTCCATATAGCAGGCCATACATAGTGAGAAAAGACTTAGTTTGTTGTAGAAATTTTAACCCTTTCTCTCATTTGTTCGGTTATTAACAGAGATATGTAATGGTTATTTCTTATTGGGGAGGGGGGTGTTGTTCCTCGCCTTTGTTCATATCAAACTTCCTTGCAAATACTCCATATAATCAGGAATTTCCATCTAATAGTTTCAGCTAATTTGGATGGAAGTTTGAAACTTGGAAGTAATACTGTCTGAAAATAATCAGGCTACCAATAAGCAAAAATAATTGTTTCTTTTTAAATGCATTTTCTTCCAATAATTTTTTGTTATTCTCATTTCTTTCAAGTTGCAAGGACTTTAAGGCAAGTTTGACATAAGGATAATAACCTGAGAAAAGTGCTGCTTTTTGCAGTTGGTAGCAGTGGGAGAGCAAGGTATTCCTCAGGTAAAGGTGGCTTCCGGAGTGACAGTTTCAGGGGTCGAGGGAACCTTGGTGGTGGCCGAGGAGGCTATGGCAGGAATGAATTTAGAAACCAGGGTGAGTTTTTGGGACGACCTAAGGGTTCAGGTGGGCGGAATGGAGATAATTATCAACGGGCTAATCAGAATGGAAGGGGTGGCCGTCAAGGTGGGGGGTGAAAGTGTGATTCTGTTTCCACTTGGGACATTAGCTGAGAAAGTGACCGGATGATTTTTTTGACAGTATAAACGAAGGGAATGAAGGGACTAGAGATTCAAGTTTTTAATTTTCGTAAGTGCAACTGTTTATTAGGAGACTATTGGGATTTTATTTTCTTTTTAACTCTTTTTTCCTCTCTTCCCTTGAGGCATCTCATAAAGCTTACGTGACATAGGGAAAAGCTATTTTGTTCAAGTATGTATTAAGGATTCTTTGATCAAATTTTTGGTATTATCATGATGTGATTTTTCACCTCTAAACCTTTCCTTATTAATGAAAAATTGAAATGACTGCTTCAGTGAATTAACCATGATTGGTGGGGGTGTGACCAGGCACGTTGGTGATGCTATACGTCGCACCTCTGGCAATTTCTTCAAAGTTTTCAAGGTGTATCTGAGCATTTCTCATTGGTCTCGTGACTTGGGAGTTTGATTAAGCATTCCTTTGTGATTTTGCAGCTCACTGAATAAGATCTAATATAGAAGCATGAGTTTTTTCGCAATTATATTCTGTTAGTCCCAAACGCAGAACTCGCAATAATATCACAGAATATCGAAGCCCCTACTCAAAGATAATACTATAAACCATTACTTTTACTGGGGAGTTTCGGTTATGTCTGCAAGTTGGATACCAAATTTAGTTTGATTTCTGCAAGTTAGATACAAGGTTCCATGCAGCAAAAGCTGCTGATCCACCGGCTACACAGACTAGAGCCACCACAACCTGCAACACCACTTCCCCAAGGTTATCCTCAGGCACAAGGTAAACACATGAAGGACCCAAAAGCAGTAACCCCAAGCTGAGGGTCAAGAGTGCCCCTGGAGTTCCAGGGTCTGTTGCTGCCGACAACACTCCAAACTCCTCCGCCTTGGAGAGGAGACCTAGTTTCTCTATCGAAGATAGAGATAGCCCAAACTTCTCGGCCGCTGATAGCAGGCCGGCTTTCTCAGCTTTGGTTAGGAGTTTCAGTTTCTCCACATTTGTCAATAGCTTCACTGGTGGTGCGGCCACAGGGCTGTTCCGTGGCCCTGGCTCGCCAAGCGGGAAAACGGTTGAGTTCGAGCTCTGCATTCATCAACTTAGAAGCTTTGTGATTGTTGATAATTCTGTTAGCTAGTAGACAGATTCATGGAATTCAGGTTTATTCCAACCTTATCATCAGTTCTCTCTTCTAAGGAAGTCATTACTAGCAATCATTAAGGTGTTACAAACAACTGAAAGCAATATATATAATTCAGCCACACTGATCTGACATTTAATCAGCATAAAGAGACGAGAACTAGGGATTTAGGCAGGAACAGTGACAGAAGTTGCCTTTTATTAAGCCATTACTCAAAACAGTAACTTGTTGAAGTCAAATTAAGCCATTGAAACTATCAGGAGTGAAGCCAGGAAACAGTTATATCAAAAAGCATATGGGGATTGAAATGAACTAACCTTTCTAGGGCCAACGGTTTTGGCAACAGAAGGCAAGGGTTTCTGTGTTGCCATGGATTGAATGCGAAAGGGTGAGGAAGTAGCAGAATTTTGTGGTTTGGGCTTTGCTATCCCGGAGGAACAGACAAATGGACTTCCTTTGCTGCTATAAACAGCTGTGGCCTCCATCTCAGTTTTTCTTCTGAAAGTCTTTCTCTCTCTGTCTCTGGGGATTTTTGCTTGAAAAAAGAGGCCTTGTTTCGTGAAAGCACCAGCCCCTGAAATGAATGGACAGAGAGGATCATGGATTGGCTTTGGGGGGTTGAGAATCCACGTGGAAGTCAATGATTGGTTACTCTGTATGCATGTTGCTGAATCAGGAGGCTGCTTGGAAATCCTGTAGGACGTGGGGGTCATTTTCCCATTTCTCTTATGGCCATGGTTTGGTGGAAATCCATTCTTCAGTCGAGGAGGGTTTTCCAATACCCCTATTTTTTTTAAAAGAAAAAAATCAATAACAATATTATAAATGATATGTTGGCTAAAAAAAGGATTAATTTTAAATTCATAAAAATATTATAAAAAAAATGTTTTTTGTCCTATTAAAATTGAAAATGGAAAAAATGGAAATTATTTTACTTTATAACTTTTACAAATATAGTAAGTTGTTGAAATTATAATTAAGAACTGAACTAATTGCTTTACCCACGTGTTAATTAGAGTTACCAAAAGGGGCCCTCCGTTCACTCAAGAACAAAACCCTAAACCCCAACGAAGAGGAACACACGACACCCCTCGGATTTCAAAGGCCAAACAAAAAGGAAAAAACATTTTCTTCAAAGCAGCAATGGCGGATCCCGTTATCTCTCTCGATAAGGTCAAAGCCTTCTGGCACTCTCAGGTCCACGATGAAGAAAAGTGGGCTCTCAACATGGTATTTCATTATTTGTCTCTTTTATTTTTTTCCTTTCATGGTTTTAGGCTTTTTTTTTTCTTGGGTCTGTCGTTTGATTTAGTTGGATTATATTGTGATTTTGATCATGATTCTGTTTCTCTGGTTTTTGGTTTATGGGCGTTTGTTTAGAAAAGGGATTGTTACTCCATTGATCTAGGAAACGAAACAAAGAGAAAAAAAGGAAAGAAACGGGGAAGAAAGAATTTAACTTATTGGCATCCATAAAAGGATCACAAAGATAGAATTTACTCTTAGTTTATTGAAAGTTTGGAATATTTCATTATTTGGGACCTTGGAAAATATAATAATCTGTGCACAAAAAATGTTTAGAACAGGAATTCTTGGGACGCTAGAGTGTTAGTGTTTGATTTAGTTAGCTATCAGTGTCTTAGCTGTTTAGGCATGACCCCCATCCAAATGAATTTCTATGACTTAACCCAATTATGGTAAGTTGATTATATGAATGTATCTGTCACTGTGTTTCTTAGTTCTTTATTGAAGTTGTGGATTGGTTGAAGAAGTAGAGAGGAATGGAAAGTGTTCTCAAAGGTGCAAATTGTTGGTGAATATTGCATGCAACAACAGGTGAAACTAAGACAATTTATAGAGGCAGGGGAAGAGTCTTTGGGCATGAACAACATGAGGAGAGAAGCTTTGTGGAGGATAACTAATGCCTCCATTAGTTGGTTTTGTTATTTGCGTAATTTTTCTTTATTTTCCATACATGGCGCAAGCGATGGGTTTTGTGGCTGACTGATATATCCAGTTGATTATCATCTCAGGCCTCATTGGTTTTGTTGGACACTTTCCTCGAAGGGATTTGAAAGAAAGTGATCTCCAAGCTTTACAAGTTGGAAAGTTTTCAGAAGATGGTTTTGAGTGGAAAGCTTTAAAGGAAACTATCTTCTCTCCCAAATTGATTACAAACATTCTGAGAAAATCTACATAAAGCAAAATGGATGTCATTTGATTTTTTCTTCATTGTCTCTCAAATATGCTAGAAGGTGTAAAGAAAATCAGATAGGAGAAGAGGGTCTTATGAAAGGCTTGAGGATTATATGTAAGACATCAAGATGTAGCATGCACAATGATAGGTCAATTTACATTTATCTGTTGGTGAATGAGCAGCTAATTTGCTGTAGCATTTGAATTTCTTCCTTTTTCCCTTCTGAAGTTTTGACCCTTAACCAGCCTTTCCTGTTCTAATGGTCAATGTTATGGCATTCATTCTCCATACTTCTGACTTCTATGGGCTTGGTGGGGGGGTGGCCAAATATGTGTGGAGAGCTTATGGGCAGTGCTATTAGGCTCATAGCTTATTGGCACCAACATGATCTGACTTAAATTACTGTTCATTTAAGATGGCCATTATTTGTTGTGGTCAATTTTGTCTACAGAAAAAATGTTGCCTAAATTGCTTGAAGGAGTTTAGAATTTTGCTGTAAGGATTAAGTTATTGATTTCTTTTTTGTTGACCCAATCACTTAGGTTTTCAAAACAAGAATTTGATTGTTTAGGGATTTATGAGTGACATCAAGAGAGTAGGTCCCCTATACATCTGAAATGTGTAACAGTTCAACTCTTATCCTATGACACTTGTAATGTGCCTACACTTTTGCCGTTTATTCACGATGTTCTTCAGAGAAAAAGTACTCGTAAGGGCAGTAGTGGACCTTGAACATGGTTTAAAAGGTTTTTGTTACCAACTCATTTTATTAGTTGCTTTTACTTGAAATGTAAGTTCTCTTCGTAAGTTGCTGTGTACAATCACTTGTTTGATCCATACTTTCATGTATGTTAACAGATTTATTTGCATCCTGAAAAATAAAGTATGTTTTTCATCCTCTTATACAGAAACTGCTGCGAGCTGCTGGGCTATTTGCTGGATCCATTTTTCTAATGCGCAATTATGGTGATCTTATGGCCATATAAGGAATTAAAGGATGGATTGAGATCTTCTGATTAATATCATATTCTGTTACTTTGATGTAATGCCATAGTCTTCTATGCCACAGCTATTTGGAAATGCATGCATTTGTTACTTTTGTGGATGAAATTTAGGAAGCCACTTGACAATCTCCTCTCTGATATGCTCAGTTGATGATGATTTCAAACATTTTTAGTAACTTTTATTTAGCATGGTAATATATGCTTCTAAATGTTGTGGAATAGAATGAAATGCACTGATTCTGATGAATGCTGAAATTGCTTTGGATGATTTGTTATAGAACTCTGGTGCATGTATGCCTGTTAATTCGTCATAGAAAGATTAGATAGCTTCCCTAAGATGTCAGTTGTTGTGTTCTAAGTCTAATCCAACAATGTTGCTGGATGAAGCAGCAGCATTTATTCCTCAATTTGTTTGGTTTTTTGGTACTTTATAAAGTATAAATCTGAGGGAAGCTTATGGATATGTCCGAAATTTTGCAACACTGGTTATTTCCCCACTTGGCCTGAAACATTTGAAGTGCATAGTTGAGGCCAACCAAATGGACAAATCTGCCCACATAACATAAACTTAAACTTCAACTTAGCTATCAAATGCAAGCTTTGCCCGTCTGAAATATCTAAAGCAGGATACTCTGTCCGCAGCACAGTTCCCAGCTCATGCACAACTTGCATCTATAGTACACTCGTATGTTCTCTCCTTTAGTCCTTATGAAAGTTCATGGGGTTTTTTAAATTTTAACCACATAAAGAAAGGTACCTATCTCTCTTCTTACAACCCTCGCTCTCTTTACACCAAAATTTCAATTAAAAACTTTTGAATTGATGTCCAATAAAAACAACTTCACAGTTCAAACCTGATTTTTGCATTATCTTAACAATAATAGCTACGGTATAATCTGATAGTATAATTATGTAATCGACTGAGATACATTTTATGATTTATAAAAAAAAAAAATTCTCTATTCCTATAAAACCTGTATAATAAAGTTGGTAAAATATCATATGCTTCTCAAAATGAATTAGAAAGAATTATAATTATTAGATCCTTATTGTGTCAAAGTATTATTTTTAAAATGTTTTTATTTGATGTTTTATCAAGAAAAATAGATATTTATGAAGTATAGTGACCGACACGTAGTTATGTTCTTCACTTGTGAAAACATCTCTAAAACTGTATATTCATGTTTGGCACGTAAAATTAGAGATGAAGATATGATTCATTAGGGTTCTAAATTGGAACTATACTCTAAACCCAAAATGAAAAACTTTATATATAATAAGTTATACTTAATTCAAGATCCATTGAAAAAGACTGTAAAGTGATTTTTAATCCACGACACTAGCAATGAGAATAACATGTTCACCAAATTAACTGTTGAAATTCAGTACAATAGATCTTCCTCCCTCTCTACAACTCTCTAGTTGATGAGAAACTTAATGTATCAGAAAAGAAGACTTAGTTTTTCCTTTATATAGTGAATTTGTAATTCCACCTATCATATGATTTATAAAATTTAAAATACCCTACACATGTCTATACAATTAAATCCACACAGAATATTGAAATCTAGCTCAGTTTATTAAATCATATCCTAAACTATAATATCTAACTTAATTCATTAAATCAAATTATGAACTATAATGCTGTCTCATTATTCAAACCAAACCAACTTAGCTTGATTTTGACAAAATAAAAAATGTAAATCTATATACAGAAAAATCTAACAAGAATCAAGTAGAAAAAGAAAAAGAAAAACCAACATTTCAAGAAGCTTATACTTGATTTCTTACGTACATTAATGAAGTTAAATTGAGATAAAGGTTCATGTAAGTCGAAAAATGTAGATTTTTGAACATGGGTATTTTAAGTAATTCCCAAGCAATATATACTTGTTTTGGTACCCCCAATTTGGGAGCAGCATGCCTTATTCACACAAGTAAGAACAAAGGCTACAAATCAAAGTGTACTAGCTAGGAAGAGTACGTATTGGGAAAATGCATTAATGCGTTACTTAAATAAGTTTTTAATTAAACAATAATTAATTAAAATATTATGATATATTAAAATATTTAATTTATTGATGGGTGTATTATTCTCATTTAAATAGCAGGATTTAAATTCTTCTTCTCTCAATTTAAAAAAATAAAAAAAAATTAAAATATTATGATGAAATAAAATAAGCCGAAAATGGGTCTATGTTATTGAAAAAAAAAAAGGTACTTAACTTATTAATTAATTAAGACAATTACTAGCAAGTTGAACCACAATTATATATGCATTTGGTATTGCATTTATGACCTAAAATACAACAGAACATAACTCAACTACTCCAGCATTCCGAAAATATTTTTTTTATTTAGTTAATTATTTTTAGTGAAACAATAATGAGATTGCTAGGTTTGGACAAAAATGAATTTATTAAGCAATGAAAGTAGGAGTTATGAAGTCAACCATACCAAAGTTGCATTATTTTGTAAAAAACGTGACACTCGAAATAATTAATTTATATTCAAATTTGATTATAATCAGAATTCGTAATGATTAGTTTTTAAATCTTAGAACGTTAATTAGCTTAAAATTTTAAATAGTAATTTAAATTTAATCTAAGTTTTCATACCATTTGTAAAAACAAAGAAATTTATTGCACAAAGACATCCTAATTCAGATGTTTTAGGAGTTCATAACTTAAAATCTTTCAATTATTGATAAAGGATAAATAAATTAGGGTAAATTACAAAAAAAATCTCTTACAATTTTTATATATGAATTAAATTTATGAAAATAAGATAAGAATAAAAAGTGATACAATGTTTTTTGATAAATAGTAAAAAATGAACAATTAATTGAATAAAGTTAATAATGACTTATCAAAATTATTGAAGGATCTTAAAATTATTTTCATGGATTCATTCTAAATAATTATGAAAGCATAGGATAAGAAAGTAATTAAAATTGAAGATAATTTAGAAAATTTCATCATTAAAACTAAAAAAAATTTAATAAGTGTAATTAATATTCATTTTATTTTGACTTTAAAAAAATATTCATTTTATTTTAATAATTTTATTGTATAAATTATATAACTTATCAATAATTACTTCAAAATATTATATTTTCTCAACATGAATTTTATTTCGTTATTAGAATCATGTAATTAACAAAATATGATTATATTAATATTAATATATATTAAGATATAAAAAATCAAAAAATTTTCCTTAGTAAGACATCAAAAAATACTTTTAAAATATTGAGTCTTTACAAGAATTATCTCTAATTTATTATTATTACTATTATTTATAATATTTTTAAATTTAAAATTAATTTTCTTTTATTATTATTTTTATTTATAATATTTTTAAATTTAAAATTATTTTTCTTTTATTATTATTTTTATTTATAAT